TTCTCAAGGTCTAAGCTTAGATGACTAGGGAAACTCAGGGAGACTAGATGGTTTCTGTACTGTCAATGGAGACTGGCAAGTGTTTCTCCAGAGCTGCTTCTATGCCTCTCTCTCTACATTAATTGCTAGAGGAAGAGAACATAGTAATTTAAATATATTCTATTGGTAGCTATTACTAAAACAGTAATCACTAGACTTAGATATCAAGAGTTACATGCAGGGAGGGAGCTTTTCACCAAAAAATTGAGAACAGTATTTCTTTCTCTCTTCCTCTTTCTTCTGAATTCCCTTTTATTTCATTGCCTAGATTGTACACTCTTTGAAGAGACTTGCAACATACACATCTTACTTTCTGGCAAGATTCTTATCTCAGTGAGGATGATAACACAGTTTTTTATATGCTTGATTCACCTAAACAGGCTCTTCTTGGTCCCTCCAGAGGAGGGAAGAAGATTATCCAGTTCAAATAGACAAACTTGGTTTCCAACAGTTAATCCCTTGTTCTTCGTAATTTATTTACCTTCACTGCAAATAAAATAAATAGGAACACAACAATCTGATCAAGCTCCATAAAACCAGCATCAGAGTAATCCTGGACACATTGTTAATTTATGAACAGCTTCAGGAAATACCCTGGTTAATTTGGTAGGAACTCCCATTGTGAAAATCTTTTTGGAGCCCTCAGAAAGCAGATCTTCAGCAGGTCAAGTAGTGCTCCCCTTGCCATCCAAATTAGCTGGATAGCCAAAGGAAATTACTGATCTTTCAGTTCGAAACCAAAACACACACAAGTGTGCACTGTTTTCCTTTGTGGAAGAATAGATAATCAATGGCTTGAAGAGTGGAGAACATATATTTGTGTTAAGACTAACTTCTCAGCTTGGATGAAGCTCTTCTGTGTCATCACCTATACTATTCTATTACAAGACTTTTACTAACAAACGGAGGTATTTAATTTATTATGTTTTTAAGCTGTCTTGAAACCTCTGCAAGAAAGCAAATACAAAAATGCATAAAAGCAAACAACTATTAATTTGTCTTATCTGCTTCCAAAATATCATTTACCGCTGCAGAATTTGAGTATTTACTACGTAAACCCAATGTCAACTGTGAAATTCTTAGTTAAAATTATTTGAAAATTTCTATAATTTCCTTTTCATTAAAAATTTCTAATAGGGAGGAACTTCACTTGTGGTTTGTTCCTCTAGTTTTCTTTCAGTTATCCATCTTCTTGTTTACTTCTGGCTTTTACTGTCAACTCATTCCCTTTATATACTGGGAACTTTGTTGGGAGAAGTGCTGCAGAAACTCCCAATACCCCTTGAATTGCGTCTGAACATTTCTAAGGCAGAACCCCAAATTCCTGAATTTGTGTCCTGAATTTGTCTGGAAGAAAATCTTAAAACAGTTTCTGCAATAAAGCTAAAAAACAGGAACAGAGGAAGCATGAGGGCTGTCATTTCCTCTAAGGCCAGCTAGATAATAATTCCTATTAACACCTCCCAAAGATAGAGCCCGTTCCACTGGGCCATATATAACTCTCTGCCTCTTACTATTTTTTGTACCTGAAAGACTAGATCACTCAATCCAATATGAAGGAATTGGTTCCTGGAACTATCTTGTGTGGTATATGTGTATTTGAGACACAAACTCTAGTGGTTTTATTATGCATTTTCACCCATAAATTCCACCGCTTTACTGTATATCAGAGAAACAGCAATATAATTGTTAGTTTAAAAAAAAATAAATTATGTAATCAAATTGCAAATGCTGTATCAAGTGTCAGTTACAGATAAATGACAATTCCTAATCTACTGTATTAATGACACCTATTCTGAAAGTTCTGTCAACACTGACAGCTAGAATGTCTGAATTATAGGCAAAAAGGCATAATTACAGAAACTCCTGCACTGTCTGAAAAGATTTTATTACCTTATTACCTTTACTGCAATCTAGATTTTGGGGAGTTGAAAATAAGGAAAAGCTTGAAATATTTAATGACTATGCTTACAAAAATTCTCCTGAAAAACAGCTGTTCTAAACCATTTTCCAAAGTTCATCTGCTTTTAGGGTTTGTTTGTTTAATTATATTTGGTCTATGAAAAGCTGAAAAGCTCCATGATTTTAGTTCCCTTTTCAGTCAATAAAAACTCAGTGGGAGAGAAGCAGTAGGAAAAAGAGTGGGATGCTTTCTCTCTTGCACTAGTAAGACTTAGGATACAGAGGTTCAGTGCCTGGCTCTGACACAAATTTCCTGTGTGACCTCAGGCAAACCATTTGGTGTTTCAATTATGTATTTGTAAAGCAGGGATAACCACTACCCCAGAGAGGATTTGCTTGGCTAATATTTATTAACATATTAGAGGTGTTTAGAAAGTCATGAAGTAGACTTCTACTGACCATATACCCAAAATCAGTAGTCAAAATGACCCAGTGAATGCTAGTGTACCAGGCAAACAGCTCTCATAAAAACATACTTGCCTACTACCACTCTTCAGCCCGCAATGCAGATAGGTCTCACAACAGCTGTTTAAAATCCTATGAAGACATTCTACAAAGTACAATTCAGTCCAACAACATGCAGGGAAATGCAACTTGTTGTTGGGAAAAGCAATATAAACCCTGTAAGCATTTCTTAGCACAGTGCTCAAGACCACACTAGCCAGCTGGACCTCCTTTTGGTAAGCCATCAGATGTACAACAGCAATGAAAAATAAGTTAAGTGCAAGATTTAAGGGTTTTGCCTTATTTTCTAACAGCTATCCAAAACCATATAGTCCATCCCATTCTATTCAGACAACTTGTGCAGAAATAATGGCATCTATTAGGGACCTGGCAGTTTGGATTGACAGGAGGTTGAACAGGAGCCAGCAGTGTGCCCAGGTGGCCAAGATGGCCAATGGCATCCTGGCCTGGATCAGGAACAGTATGGCCAGCAGGACCAGGGGAGTGATTCTTCCCCTGTACTCAGCGCTGGTGAGGCCTCACCTGGAGTACTGTGTCCAGTTCTGGGCCCCTCAGTTCAGGAAAGATGTTGAGGTGCTGGAGCAGGTCCAGAGAAGAGTAATGAGGTTGGGGAAGGGACTTGAACACAAGTCCTATGAGGAGAGGCTGAGGGAGCTGGGGCTGTTCAGCCTTGAGAAGAGAAGGCTCAGGGGAGACCTCATTGCTCTCTACAACTACCTGAGAGGAGGCTGTAGGCAGGTGGGAGTTGGTCTCTTCTCCCAGGCAATCAGCAGTAGGACAAGAGGGCATGGCCTTAAGCTGTGCCAGGGGAGGTTTAGGTTAGACATTAGAAAGAAATTCTTTACAGAGAGGGTAATCAGCCATTGGAATGGGCTGCCCAGGGAAGTGGTGGATTCTCCGTCCCTGGAGGTTTTTAAGATGAGGCTGGACGTGGCACTTAGTGCCATGGTCTAGCAACTGTGGTGGTAGTGGATCAAGGGTTGGACTTAATGATCTCAGAGGTCCTTTCCAACCCGTCTGATTCTATGATTCTATAGAAATCAAGGACTGGAAACTAGTCCTTGCCCACCTGGTGGGTAGTGTACACCTCACCTAATTGAAGTGTACAAAACGAGTGCCTTGACTAAGACAATTTGCCCAGACTTCTGGAAGAGTCAACAAAGAGAAACAAGTAATGCCAAGAAGGAATTTATCACACTCTAAGTAAGATGGGTTGTTTTCTATTCCTTTCTCTTGTCTATACAGGAATGTATAGAATGACTGACTTTAGAGGAGGCACCGACATTTAGGGAGACAAAATCTGTTAAGAAGACTCCCACCTCTCTGCTGCTGCTGCGAACACACTGCCTCCCATGGCACACAGATCAGAAAAGGGTCAAGGAAATGGGTCATGATCCTTGTCAAAGGAAAGGTGATCTTCTGTTTATAAGGCTGGACTAAATAAAACATTAAAATGCAATGCCACAGAAAATGAGGCACATGCTGGAGAACTAATTCAGTCTAGCTGGAGAATTGACTCAGTCTATACACTAGTATTGCATACAATATTCCAATCTGTTTCTCAGTTATTCTGTCTTTAGTGCCCATCTGTAAGCCATATCTATATTTATCTCATACCTTCCACAGCAAAAATCTTGGAAACCTGTTTAGAAAGATCCTTTGGATTTATGTTTACACATATTCAGTGACACTGTTACCTACATATCAGGAATGGTAATACTTTTCAACCAAAAGGCTAGAAAAGTAGCTAACAACAAGAAAGTATAATACTTCTTTTCAATTATCACTAAGGCAGATTACTCTGAATGTCAGTACTAAATTTACCTCAGTAGTAAGGTTTCCCTCTCTTGGCCCCCACAGTATAAATGATGGTATTTTAGTGGTCTAACAAAGGTTTTGAAATTAATAAATAAATATTAGAAATGAAATCTAAGAATGTGTCTCCTTTACCACAGTTGTTGAATTTCTTTGTAGCTCACACAAAATCATCTTTTGAAAAACACAGTGTTGAAAGAATAACTTTCTCTATTACTTATGTTTGCTAAAAGACCACTCAAAAAGAGCAAATTATAACATGGACTACAGAAAAATAGATATTGATATGGTATTCAGACATAGCTAGTATTCTTGCAGAAAGCCACAGAAAAAAGTCAAGGAACATCAATCAGTTTGGTAACATATCCTACTGATATTACATACACCATTTAATCCTCCCTCAGTCAGGGAGGACTAATTAAGACTCAGTCCTCTCTGGAGGTGTGACTCTGGGAAATGTTTTCTTCAGTGTTAGTCTGACCTAGTTTACATAGCATCATAGGACATCAGGAACATAGAATCAGTTCTTTGCCCTAGGTGAGGGAGAGCAGTCAACAGCTGGAGGGACTCAGCTACTTATGATGTGGCCACAGGTACAAATAACCTTTCATTATCTTAAAAAGCAACTTATTCATCTAGTTATGGTAGATTTCTATTGTTTCAGTCATCAGTAGCTTTCAGTGCCTCTCTGGTCTCAAAACACATCATAACATACTCACCATCATCTGCTGAATATGAAATATTTCGTCTCCAGTGGCAGAGAGGCGGTTTGGAAATGAAATGTCGAGAAAAGCTCCAGGGAGAGTGCTTGGTCCAGCATTGTAAACCTGTAAGAGAACAAATGACTACCAATAAAATTACATATATGACTTCTCATTAATGGGAAATGACTGTAGAATCACAGCTGGAAGTATAGTTAAATTTGAAGAAACTCAAGTACTTTGCAGGTTTTTCAATGTCTTCAGATGAAGACTTCTTTTGTATCTGTCAGGATGAAGTTAAAGAATTAGCTTACTTTATATTCTTTAGGCACAGCTCATATATGAAATAAGAAGCAGTTTTGCAGGATAATTACCAGTCATCAGTACAAACAGCATAAGATTTCTACCTTATACACAGAGACACTGCTAGTACTCTGAGTGTTTTGGTAATACAATCTGGAAGGCTGTAAGAAATATTACTGTCTCAGTTAACATTCTCATTTCCATCTGGTAACCACTGCATTATATTCCGTATATGTTTTCCTTATGAAGCAGAAGCTAAACAATTATTGTGACTGCTGGACTGCAGGTTTACTGAGTGAGTTGCCAGAAAATGCATGTGAACAATTTCCATCCAAGTTCTGGAGTTTATAATTTAATTAAACTTCTGGTGAAAGACATTAGCTTCCTATCAATCCCCTTCCCTCAAAATTTTGACAAAAACTCAAAGAATTTCCTGCCCACCACTGAAATGTATCTAGTGAAAATCCCAAAATTTATGATTTTTTGCTGAAAAGAAGTAATCCATGGAAAACTTTCAATGAAAATAAGTTTTCATTTGTAACTACATTTTTTTATTACGAAAAATATGTCCTGGTTCTTTCTAACAAAACAAATATAAATGCATACAGTAAAAAACCACAAATATAAATGCATACAGTAAGAACATTAAGCCCGTTAGAATATTTATCCACTACTGTTAAAAGATGCAACAATCAGTTGTTAATTGTGTAAAGTACAAATATTAAAACCAATAGGTTTTCATTCTTTAAACACTGTTTATATCTGAAGAAATGTCTGACTGACACAGAGAATCGGTTTGCAATGCCAAATCATCACAAAAACACTGAGGCTCCAGGTAGGGGGTGAAATCCCACTACAACGAAGCATGATAAATGCTACATGAAATATAAACATAATGTTTCATGTGAGACACTTTAAAAACCTTTATTATCTCTCTGAGAGTACTGTAGAAAAGGCATTTCATTGTATGTCTTGTTACTAAAAAAAAGACGTAGATCTGTTTCCATTAACACTGGACCCTGTATAGCTTTTCACATATAAAAACTGCTATAAAGCCCCATATTTTTGTAAATCATCTCTTTTTCTTGGTTAAGAAACTATTACTCTTCTCCACCTGGAGAAGTTAAATAAATGCCAGGCAAATCATTTAAAATAATTAAGCAAAGAGTGATACAAACAATGCTTTGCCCATCATGAAAGTCTGCCCTATCTCACCGACGCACACAGTTATGAGGCTTAGCACATTACTGGAGAGCGCATCTGTGACTTGTTCCAGTATAATTTTCTGTTTCTGTTTGGAAAAAAAAATTAATAGTGCAACTTCTAAGTGTGTGCATAAAAGACAAGAGCATGAGTAGGCTCTGCCATGAGAGAGAATCTCATGGATTCTCTCTCCCTTTCCTGTTATCACTTTGCTTTATTGAAAATATTCATCTAATTAAAAAATAAGTGTCTCTGTTCTTTATCTGGTTTTAATGAATAACTGGCTATGGGGGGAAAGATGGGGAAAACCTATCAATCCTCAAGAATGAAATCAGAATCACAAGAATTAACAGCCTGGTTCACAAAAGCTTTAATGTCCTAAAATCCTGCTTTCACTTCTTCTCAGTAAATAGCTAAGGGCACCACATGACAGTGGGGGCTTAATTGCTCTGGACCGCAATCTGTCCATGGAGGCAGATGTGTTATTCATTATGAGCTGAGTGGCATTCATGCCTAGGAGAACAGAAAGGGAGAAAAAAGGTGAAACACTATTTTTCTCAATAAATGAACCTACCTCTGCATGACATCATTTTCTACTTCCATCTAGTGGTCAAAAAGAGTTTGAAGGGCTTGTAATAGATACAGTCACATCAGCGAAACACAGCACAAGTTAATTTTCAACACATCGCAAGAGTTTGTGATAATAAATCATCCATATGTTTTGCCATATGAGGAACCCATCTAACTGGTACTGTAATATAGGTAATAATTGACTAATGCTGAGATGCTGTGAGATATTTAATTAAAACTTCTCACATCTGTCTCTTTAGTGTCATCATCTCTTGCCTGTACTGTACTCTTATCAGTAGTGCCATAAACATTTTCATACTGGGGCATTTAGCAAGTCTGAATCCCTTGCATAGGCATGTGTTTGTTCTCATGGACAAAGGCGGCCCACTCCTCTGCTCAAAGACCATGCCACTAAAAAGAATTACTTCTCCACTTTTAACCTGTGACTTCATCCAAGATGTGGCACTTGAGTAACTAGAGTTCTTTAATCAGCATGTGATGAAAGGTAAAAGAGCAACAACTTATGGAAGTGAGATGCCCTGTTTACAATTCTTGTTATAATATAGTCAGATAAAGGACATATGCCATCTATGCACACTGTAAATGCAGAATCCAATCAAGAATGCATTGTACAGCATTTTAGCAGGATGCTCTGCTTTGGTGAGGTAAAACAGCTCGAACTTTACCTATTTGCAAAAGTTACCAGCAGTGGATGGAGAAAGTGGATCATGCTGCTTTTGGTGTTGAAGAATTCTGAAAGCAGCCTGACTCGTCAGTCCCAAAGTTAAACATTCAGTGTTTCCTGACAGAAACTGGCACCAGTAAGGATGTGGCAGACAAAGTTCCTGATAAAGGAACCAACAAATGATAGCACTGATAACTTGTCTAAAGCTGCTGAGCTAAAGGCTGCATAGCTGACACAGGTAGCATAAAGATATATGATCGACAGTCGATCACTTTATACTATAAAAGCCCAGTTCTGCTTTTTAACAGCAGAACATATCCCTTTGAGGAGAGAGTGTAGAGATTCCTCCCTTGAGTGGGGATGTCCCTCAACGTTACTCCTTGAGGCTGAGTGCAAGAGATTTGCCCATGGTTTTTGATATGGGTGAGTATCATCAATCTCTACTTAATAAAAGCTAGCTTTGAAATTATTCATTTAATAAATAGTGCACTATTAATAAAACTATATTATGTGGTAAATAATTCTGACTAAAGTATTTTAGTCTAATCATTATCATCATCAGTTTAAATAAATAATTTATGTTACTCATGTAAATGTATTTGTTTTGTCATTCTTAATCCTGTGGGACAATGTCATATAAAGACTCGATTACACCTATATGACCTTTACATATAAACTGTTGACCAAGTCTGGGGCTGGGATTGGATCCAGCTGCACCCAGACTCCTCTGTGAGGAGGAGTTTAGAAAGTAAGGGAGTTCTTTTGGAACCTCATGACTCAACAGGAGGATCTTCCTGATAAACATTGTCCGAAGCTTCCATTCTGCCCATGACTGTGATTCAAAGTCACGGTCACAAGTCCATACCACACCCAGAATAAAAAAGACACAAAACCAGAATGTGCTGTCAAGCAGGAGAGCAGACAAAATAAGGAGGAGTTTTACCTGCAGGGTGAAGTTGAGAGACTGGAAAAGGCATTCATGGTTTTCCAACTGAACAAAGTTGGACGCTTCCACAGAATCGCCATAGAAAAATGAAGTAGGGAAGACTTCTCTGTAAGATCAAGATACAGATACAGTACGCTGAGTTTGTCACCAAAATTAAATATATTTATGTCCAGCTGACTTGCACCTTTGCTTTACAGTCATGTGAAATTCTATGGGACTATTTGATATTAATCTATTGTTCCTGATTTGATTTCTTCTTGGCAACAGTAGACTACATAAGCAGCATCTCAACTGACCTGGATTAACATCCCATCATTGAAGCAGACTTCATTACTTATCTCTTCTTCTCCTTTCCTATCACAAAACCTCTTCTCCAGGGCCCCTGCCATGGATGATTTGTGCAAGTCCCACAGCTTTTGCAACACAGGAAATCATTGCACTGTGAAGTCAATCTGAAGAAACAGTAACTAATAGGAATTATGTAACTTTCAGTTACATATTCACTGAAGTACATTTTCATAGCAAGCAGGAATAAACACTTGATTAATTATCCAAGTTTTACTACCTTTATGATTCAGAGATGGTTAAAGGAGAGAGTAGAGGGGATATAACCTGCTTTCAAGTTCAGTGGAACAGGCCAAGTTTCCTTAACCACTTTTATCAGCTGATCACACAGTAAAATGCAGTAGGATTTTATCAGAAATTACTTGGAAGCACAACACAGTACCTGGAAATCCTGCAGAAGAGGACTAGGAGTGCTTTAAGCATCCTTTGTGCATCCTTCTAATCTCAGGCTGTTCCACTGTCTAGAAATGGTCCTGGTGTAATTTCAAACAAACCTTGGTCCTCATCACTGCCTAAAACTCTGCTTCCTTCTCAGGTTGTCCTTTGGAGTCAGAGCTTTTTGAGACAGGATTTTAAGCCTGTTTAGGTACATTTACTTTTTTCCTGTCTCGCTCCTATGCCAGGGGTTGCTAGGGGAAACAGTGAGAGATAGATTTACTCCTCCCATTTACAGTGTTGTGCTAGAAGGCTTCTCCCAAACACGGTACAAGCCCTTCTGGACTATTTATGACCAGGAATGAAGTTTGTTCCCCTAGATTCATATAGGATAAATAAGGTTCAAAAAGACGTCTGAAAAAAGAGTATTGCTAATGTTACCATGCCTGGGAATGTTGTGCCTTTCAATAAATCCAACTTTTCTCTGTCAATTGGACTTTTCTGTGAACTTGAATTAACTAAACCATGTCTAAGAGAAAGAAAAAAATAATCCACATAGTCATTTGAGTGGGGTTTATAAATTCAGAGACCTTGTGCTTTAAAAAAGTACATTTTGAAGAGAAAGAAAAGAGCCCAACTTATATTATTTTTTGGCATGCAGTATTCTGTAGGTAACAAACAGATCTAACAATACAAATGAAAGTGTTCATATCTGTAAATCTGAACAAAAATCCATCTGTATCCAAGCATCAAGAAGCAAGGGATACAGAGTTAAATTTCTGAAGAATCTGTAACATTCAAAAACTTTCAGAACATGCTGCTGAGACTGTACTCTCAATGTGGAGGAGATTTTTGTCCTTGCTTTTTGTCCTTTGTCATCTTGTGAGGTTTGACAGTGCTTTTCATTTCTCTGAGCAGGCTCAAGCATACCTTTCATAGATTTTGAAAAGGATTTTATTTCCATGCAACAAGATAGAAATCAACTTTATGTGACAAAACCCAGTCTAGGCCATGAATCTGAGTTTACCCACCTTTTCAGTCAAATCCCATGTCAGTGCAAGTTAGCTTTTTTCCTACACATCTAGCATAGTAGTCAAGGAAATATTTGATTTCTACTGATGCCAACCAGCACTGGTCATTTAGACAATATCTATTGCCTGGGGGTTCCCATAGATGGTGGCTAAAACAGACACTGACCTTCTGGGGACATTGCTGATGAAGTTTTGCTTCCCCAGTATGTTTAGGAATTAATATCAGCTTTCTTGGTCTACATGAATGCTAATTCACCTTCAGTGACCAGGTCCCCCAGTGCCAACTCAAGTACTGTTTATGCTAGATGCCAAGTGGAAGGGAAGAGTTGCAACTACAAAGGCAGGAACTTGTACATGTGTAGCCTTGGGGAGAGGACACAACAACTATGTTTTATACACGTATTTCAATCAAAGGGTGAGTGATGCTCTCCAGTTCATAGTCAGATGCCTCGCAGACTAGGGAGTAGAGGGAGTGGAAAAATGAACAGAAGCAGAAGCAAATTCTGTTTGTGATATTAAATAGAAAGGCAAACAACCTTCACCAAGCTCCTTGAAATCCTGGAACATTTGACCCTAACCTTTGGCTTGGTGACTCTCAACCATTTCCTTAAAGACATGCCCTAAGAAATAGGCCATGGTTTACTTGTTCTTTTTTTTTTTTTTATTTTAAGGCCCATCAGATATAAAGAATCACTTGAATTCAAACATGACATTAAAATACCTACTATAAATGTGATGGTAACTAATTAGTATTAATTAGAAATGTGTGTAAAAGAGGTACAGTGTTGGAATTAATAAAATTTCCAGACACCAAATGAGGCTGTCTGTATGTCCAGAATTTGAGAAACAAGGAAAAGCAAGTCTGGCTACATGTAAACAAAGAGAAGAATTTATTTTTTCACTGAAAGACACCCAGCTATTATTATTGTTGTTGTTGTTATTATTATTATTATTATTAGTAGTAGTAGTAGTAGTAGTAGTGGTAGTGAGTTTGTTTTGGTGACTGATACTTACCCATTGATGGACGAAGCCACTTCATGCATCAGAGGTACCGACAGGGTTAGAATATTATCATGCAGAGATTCACTGCGTTCTAGGTTTCCACTATGCCAGAAAGGAAAAATAAACATTCTGCAAATTGACAGCATTTGCAATATCACACAGTTTCACAGCTACCATCTCTCTGCCTTGTACTCTGAGTCTCTCTATCTGAATGACGTCAGTTCCTTAAGAAGTCTTAAGAGTTACATTTGTTCACTCAGTCTTTGAGAGAGCAGACACATAAAGCATGTGTTTTGTGGCTGCTCTTCTATGGCTGTGACAGATCAGGCTCACAACAAAAAAAAAATGTTGGAACAAGGTGTGAATTCAAATGTCTGTGGGAAACTACAGCAGCCATCATACAGTGGAGAGAAACAAGGACATTTAGACTTTAATGCAAGCGTTCATTTTCTCCCAGTCTGACCGCATGTCAGTTTGTGAGGGTCCTCCAGACAGGGTCTTGACTCAGTAAATGAAAAAATGCTTTCAATGTATCTGCATTGTACTACAGCACGAATTTGGCGCCACTGCAAGCAGCTCTTTGGGTGAGACCCTTGCACTGAACCAGCCATAACCTCTCAGCAGTTCCACTCCCCTTTTCCTGTATTTAGCTGCCAAAATGAAAGTGCTTCTACTTTATATTTTCAAAGGCTGTTGCCTCAGCTGGTCAAAAGCAGAAAGAAGAACAAGAAAAGTGAGCAATTATCTCTCATTTGAGTCACTTTGTTTCACTGTGAACACTTAACATACGGGAAAGGTTCCTGAAATGCATGTCTAACATGCAAACCTGCAGCTATTCTAATTCTGATGGTGAGTCTGCTTGGTGGGTGACAGCTCAGAACAATCTGGAAAGATATGTTACATATATTTCCCATTTCTTTAGCTATGACTCTGGAATCACTTTTGCCTTGCAGTTCATTGGATTACTCACAAATCAAACTGGCAAAACAAAAGATAGGATCATATTTATTTGAGGAGAGTATCACTGAGGGCAGTAACATCCCAACTGATACCATGTAGATTATGAGTTGCTCAGATTACAAAAACAGAGCCTCCTGGCACATACATGCATAGATACAGTTCGGCTGTCTGCAACTGACACACTGGCCATGTCTGCTAAGAAAACTATGGCCCAGACAGTAAAACCCACAAACATTCGGTCCTGGAAAAAAAATCAGTTAATAAAAGCTCTTCCCCTGAATAGGCTTACAGAAAAATCCAAAATGGAGACCTTTCTCATCCAATACAAATACTGATATACCATGGTGGCAAACAGAATAGGTAAGTAGAATTCTATACAGGGTTCATGGATATGTTCTTATCTGTTTCTAATGGAGTTAAGGTACTGTCAGAAAAGAAGAATACATCTCAGTCAATTTAGCTCTAGAAAAACAGTAATCACCTGGAAGCAAAGAAGAGGGTTTGGGGTTTTATTGTAGTTTGTTGTTTTAGTTTTGGGGTTTTTTTAACAAATAGTGTAAAAGCAATGTAATGCAATGTTAAGTTCTTTCTCCAATTGATCTGTCCCACTACTGAACCAGTCTCTTGTTACAGATGCTACTGCCAAATTTGCAGCTTCAAGGCACAGGCTTAAATGGCCACTTGGATGGCAATACTTCCTTTCCCACAAGAGTGTGACATAGCTTCTCTGTGTCCAGCCATTTCTGCCACACCAGCTCCAGTTTTGTGTCAAAACAATGTCCTCACTCATTGCAGCCTGGTCACAGCACAGGCACCTCCTCTCCATTTCTTTATCATTGACTTTACCTCAGGGCTTCCTCCAACTCTTGTTACACTTATTTGACAGCAAGGGAATTGAGCAATTTGCCCAAAGTCACAGACAAAATGAGGGTAATCAGCACTGAGGCCTGCATTGCTGTCTTTGGAGGTTCAGCTGAATCATTCCAAACATAACTGTCACCCTGCTCAAACTTCTGGAATAAGAAACTTTCTCTTAACAACTCTGATCATGTATAAAAATTACTGTTTATTTCTTTGCTCCATCTAAAGGCACTGACTAGCCCTTCTCTCTGGCACAGCACAGAAATATGAGGAGTGAGGTTACATAGGGAAGTCCTGTGCTATCAAAGGCGGAGAAAATAGCTGGAAAACACTGGCTGGGCAAGTTTAAAGCACTGCTGACCCATCTTTGCACCAGCTGGAATTCACCCAGCATGTATTGATGTATCTGTCTGACTGAGACACATCACAGGGTCACCTAAACAACAGATTCACTTCTCCTCAGGGAGAATAAAACTTCCCTAATGCGGAAGACATGGTGATGCAAGGTCTCATTTTCAGTGTTTCATACCAGTCTTACATGCTGCAGGATCTGATCCCACCTACAGCTGTTACTGTAGGGGAAGACTATGCCTCATGAGAGTCACTCAGCAGCTGCTATATCTCATCTCATCTCCAGCCGTTTGGAGAAGTGTGATCCAGTTTGGGAGGAGAATTCAGGCTGGAGATCCTGATTTTGACATGGAAGAGTATGAAGTTGGCTCACTCACACAGTAAGTGGAAGCAGGAACTAGTCACAGATGCAGCACATCAAAGCAGAAGTTCATGGCCCATGTTAATGCAGCTGTGCATTGGTTCCCACATAGACCTTGACAGTGCTTGTGACTGAATCACCCACGGAGTCTGCTTCTTTGTAGTACATCATCTTAGGAGACACAGAGCACGTGTCACACCTTTTATTCTGCCCAACATAGAATGCCTATGATGCAAACTTGCCGTCAACCTACTTCCATGCCTGCTTCAAGTGCCCTGGGGGAAGTACCCTATTCAGCCATTTTCCGCAATCTGTCATAGCTCACTGAAGATCCAGAGGGGGGAAAAATAGACATGCAACTTTGGAACCTGTCAGTGAGATCCCTGACCATCTGACTAAAGCATTTATCTTTTTTGGTTTGGATCCAAGCATGCTTATTTCATTCAAATGCTGGAACAAATGGTTCTGTCTGGTGCTGATCATAAACTGAGCAGAGCTTGATACAGGGCCCAAAGAGATGGCCACTGAAACACAAGAGCCTTTCAACTGAGAGAATACAGATTGCTTCTTCAGAATTGCAACTGCCTGGCAAAGAAAACCTGTGTATGATCCTATCTCATTTTTCAGGAAGCTTCAACACATGCTTCCTCTGCATTATCCAAATATATGCATTTAGCCTGAGTAATTTAACCTAATTTACTATACATATACATGCCTACAACTAATATCACACAACTGTCAAGCATATGTAATACACACTTCATGCAATAAAGAATATCCAAGTCATCCAGACACATAAAGGTCCCCTTACCTTTGGGCAGTGACAAGGAAGGTAAGCGTTTCTTCCTGCCCAGACAAGTGGCTTGTGTCAAAGATCACACTGAACTCATACTGTGCAAAGAAAAAGCAGTAGTTAGAAATACTGCATAGTGTTTCAAAACGTATTTATTCTGAAACTTCACATATATTTTACTGGTCTAGTTGAACAAAAGTAGCATATTTTGATACATGTAAGAGATTTTCCTCTACTGCAGATTAACTTTTAAATCTTAGCCATTTTGCCTCTCATCAAATACTAGAGAGTTTGGTTTTTCCTTTCATTGAGAAAAGGCCTTTACTAGAATTGCCATTCAAAGATATTTCTTGAGGAGATCATTTGCCAGGGAAACAGTTTTCCAGTACAAGGGGATCACTACCTGAAACTATCTCAGCACCAATCTATATGTTTGCTGTTGAAGACATCTTTTACGGGAATAAAAATCACACCACAGGCCTGCAGAGACTTGGAGCAAGTGGTACAAGCTAAAGCAGCATTCAGGACACCCATCATAATGGGTGAAATCATGTGCTAATTCTGAAAAGAGAATTTACTTTGATGAATAACTTCTCCATGTAACAACTTTTCTGCCTAACTCCAAAATGGGTTTTGGTCAAGTGAAACAGTATCGAAATTCATACTAATTTCAACGGTTTACATTCTTACATTCTAGATAATATTTTGCTACTGCATTTATTTCTTCTATTCTGTTTAAAATATTTTTAGATGTTTCAAAAGACCATGAAACAGTCAATAAGACTAAGAAAACAAAAACTTTTGTGTTGGGTCAAAGGATATCCCAATTCAAATGGAAAGGATTAGCTCATGAAATTGAAACTTTCTGAAAAATTTCAGACTCTTTTTGTTTGGGTCATCCTAAAGTTATTCCCTATTTTCTCACCTTTCTGAGTTGGTCATTTATCCAGCTCAGTTTAGTGACAGAAAGAACCCAGCTGGATTTTTAAACATCATGAGAGAGTGCATCTTCTATTACTGAACAAAATCCTCTTTAAAAAATCTACCAGGAGACCATAATATGAAAAAATCATTAGTACGTTTTCATTGTAATTTGTATAAATTCAATTGCACTTTAATGTGAAAGAAGAGAAAGATAAAAACAGAGTAAGGCAACATAAATAAGACAGAGGGTTCTTTTCTAATTTTCTACAGAGGAAATATGCAAGCTTTTCACAGCTGCAACTCTTGTATTATTTTTCAAAAGCATTTTATTGCACTACACAGGGCACTGTCATTGGCTCTGTATGCTGGGAAAGAGGACAGCTACAGTCTGTAACCGTGAAAGGCTTGGATACCTGGGTTAGAAAGCTAGAGAAAGTATCAGTCACAGACATTTAATAGAGCAGTTTATTTCCAGCCACTCCTCGGAGACAGAGGTGAATGAACTGTTACTCTGCAAATTGCAAATATCACATTACCCTAGAATTTGATCTCATGAAAGGAAATCCCACACTGCACTTGAGGAAATCTGATTCCAGCAACTCACAGGCAATGCCCAGCTCCTCCTGTAAGAAAATAAAAAAGAACATGAGATGATAGATTTGGGGAGAAAAAGAGGATTGCCAAGAAATACCATTGTGATGACGTATTGTAGAATACTAAACATTTCCCACTATAGCACTGTGTAGCACTTCCTTACTCCACCTCAGTCAGACTAGTACTGGGAAGAAGACAAGTGTCAGAACCTTATTCTGAGCGATATATATATATATCTATAAGAAAATACCACATGACCAAACACATTAGAGCCAGGGGATCAGCCCAAGTACTTGGATAACTCAGACCATCAGTTCTGCCTCTGTTCATTAAAAGACAGCTTTCAAATAATCCAGAATACAAGTTTCCCAAGGTAGTTTTTCCAGATACCCATGCCATAAAAAGAGAACTGTGTCAGGAGACAGTGAGTAAGCCATGCCACACACAGATGCAGGAGAGAAAGTTAATGTCCTGGTGACATTCACTGCCCTGATCTCTTCCTCTAGTCCACAAAATGAATCATGTTCGTAAGGATACCAACCTTCTTTAGTGAGGCAATGGTGGCATAGATAAAGTAGAGGGATGATCCTCTTCTCATGCTAAACATTGACTATGAATATTGTCAATAATTCAAATGCCAATGGTTAGAGCAGCCCTATCCTGCTTGACTGGTGACTGAACTACAACAGAAATACTTCTGTTGAATGGAGAATATTTAATTGCTCCATAAAATAAGTGCCCGGCTTCAGGACAGCATATTCTCATCTCCAGATTATTGGGGAACAGTTTAATGCTCTGTCACTGTGGGCAAGTTCATCCTCACTAACTTTAGGAGTGGGATTCAACTCCAGAATCTGATATACATTTTTAGATGCCTACACAGCAAGTGATTGCTTTGTGATCTACATGTCACTGCTCCCATTGTAGTCAAAGGATGTAGAAAACTGTTCAGCAGACTAAATGCAGGTGTTTAATTTAGACTGGGCTGGATACCTCTCTAGGCCCTGCTGTTGACTACATCATCACTGGAACTACAGTATTGGTATGCAGCTACAATCCGAACACCGAAATTTTAGATATCTGAATCTATAAATTAACTTTATTCTAGACATGTAGCTGAGAATCTCTTAGCAACAAGACCTATGATTTATTTGACCTATTTTCAGTATTTACAGCAATTTGCAAAGCCCAGGTTCTGTTTCCTTGTGTACATTTCCCAAATTGCTTCAAATATGAGTTCTGCTTTAAATACGCACTTACAAGTTCCAGGGGTAACATTCTCAGTTGGAACAAGCACATGTGGAAGTAGCTTCCTGAACCATAAACATGGGTTATAAGCATCTCCAGGAAATGCCTCTCTGCCTTTCGCATTCTGACCCAAGCACAACTTTAGCACTTCACAGACATTTTTATTATTCTAAGTAGGCATCTGACAGCATTCAGATTCTTGACCTTTGAACTGCTTCCTGTGATAATCTGAAAGACAAGTCTCTTTTACCTTCAAAATCATGGTCCAAATCAGGGCCCACACTTCTAGAAAATGACAGACCGAATTCTTACCTGACTCAGACAGTGTTTCACTGGTTTCATGAGAAGCAAAAATAATGTAAGGAGAAAATCAATGCCTAATGGAATGATACTACTGCAGTACTACTAAAATGCCAGAGTAGTGGACTCCCCATTCAGATTCTTTTTGGATTTGTTTCCTTGCAATCTTCAGTAGGCTTCTATTTCCAGAAATACAAAAGATGGCACTGCTTAGCAAATGAAATACCTAGCTTCAGTAGTACGGAGCTGCCATCGTCATACAGTGCATTAGATTTTCTCCTCCATTTAACACAAAACAGAAAAACAAGTGCTTCATGGGTAAAGTGTCCCCTTCACTCCCTTTTCCTCTCAGCAATCTGTGAAGTTCTCAGTTTTATGCAAGAGAAAGTGAACACAAACTCCGAGGAGCTGCATAACCAAATGAAAAATTTCACAGCTGTTTCCTCTGGAAATATTCATGGTTCTGGGTTATTCAACTTCTCTTGTTAAGTGGGGCAAACTATGAACAATCTTTCATCAAATCCCAGCCCGTGTTCTTTCAAGAGGAGTTTCTAATTGCATAGCCGTCTCGTGGTGACAGTGACTAGACAGACCCAAGAGACTGCCTCCTCTCCTCAAGGCCATATCCCTTCAGAGATGTGAAACAACAAGATAAAAGAAAGAACTCTCATCTTGATAACAGAAGAAGAGCACTCGTTCATTTTGCATACTGGCGCCTTTGCAGCCCTGAGAGCTGGCAGGCTGCAGGTTTTATAATTTCTTGTTAAGCAAATGACAGATAACACAGCATTGGCTTATTTTGCTGTTGTTGCTTGGAAAAGTTTAATGGATGCAGTAAGATTGACTTGACCAACCTTCTGGCTTCATTAACATACCATCCAGTTCAATGATTAAGTTTGACTGTATCACACTAGTTCAGCCTTCCATACATTTATAAATTACACAGGCCACCCAGAAAACTTTTCCCATGGACTCCTTGCCTTGTTCCATGATTAGGATGGAGAAGCTAACTTAATGAGTAAATATTTTGGTTTTCATTCACTGCTCACTGTTTGGCTTCAGGCTTTATTTGCAGTGAGCTGTTTTGGAGGGAGAGAAAATAATTTCCTCCTATGGTGGCCAGCTCTCTAACACTCTCTCTCACTCTGTAAGCACTAAATGAACTAATTTTCACACTGTTCCAGCAGTCTGAAGGGTAGGTGCTGTCTTATCTTACAAATACGGAAGAGCAGTGCAACTCGGGGTTTACAGAAATTGTGGATGCCACTTCTCACCCATGTTAGGTAATAACGCTTTTTGTGAGCAATGCTTCTCTATAACAACACAACTCAGCTGAGAACTCAGCTTACTGCATGAGTTTCAAGTTTACATAGAAAACACAGCCAAAGGGGTTAGAAGTTTCCCTTCCAACAAGACACTGTGAAGGTTTATCTGGAAAACTTTGTTTTCTTTTTGAAACATTTCATAGCATTTTATACTTTTAGTCAATCAGATATATAGCCAGATAATTAGTCAAATAGCTGTTATACAGTTATTACTGTATAACAAATATTGACCTGGTTATGAGAAATATGAAGCTCAGGCTGACTCACAGTCTGTTTCTCAAAGTCCTTTATCACAGAAAGAAAAGTTCCTAATAATTATAACACGAGCAATGAAGCAGTCAAGTTCTAACTCCATTATAAGGAGCACATAGGGAAACAACCACTCAGATTCTGCAGTGTAATACTGTCAAACATAACCCCTGGGGTATGTGACTGGGGGAATAAGCAGAGGTGCAACAAATTGGCCTTATTTCTGGACATAAGTGTTTTTAAGTTTAAATATTATGTGCGGTTTCAACTAAGTAGAGCAGGAAGTTGCTAGTGATCATATTAATATGGTGCCTAGAAGCAGTGACTTGGCAATGTTGCAATTTGCTAAATTTAAGACTTGAGAGAGGAGAAATTTCAGCTCATGTTCTTCCCATCTCACTGCTGGTGCAGTCTGCACTGGGGGACACCAACTGTCTCCTTCATGGGCATCTTTAGCCAGTACCTGTCTGCAGAAGTGGGCAGCTGCTGAACATGGGAGCTCAGAGTACATCTGACTACAGACTGACAACATGGGATGTGCCTAGGAGCAGTGCCATCTCATATTCTTGTTCCTAACCCACACACTGCAAGCACTCAAGTCCTTACTGCCCAAAACAACTCAGATATCCATCAAAAGAAAGAAAGGTGCTCACACAATAATATTTTTAAGACAGGTAAACAAGATAGATCAAGCTGAATGCTTAAAACAATGCATTCAGCTTGGTCTAGAAAGCATTTTGACATGAGTAAAGCATTTCAAAAACATAGAGAAGATGCTGGATTATGGTATTGTTATCTTACTCTAGAATAATTCACAGGCAGTGTCCTTTGCTGGCTTCACCTAGCTAAACAGCTTCAGATTTTGCTCATTTTCTATCACAAAGATCATGACTGAACTGCAAGAGAACCACACATCTTTCAGGTCACATAAGAGATGCTATCAGTAAGGAGACAGCTTGTCAGAACTAGAACAGGTTGTACCAAGTAAGCCTTTCAACGCATGTATTTTGGCGTTTAAAAAGCCTGTCTTCCCTTAATAGTATTTGATGGCCCAGTATTCTCATGGTACAAAGGCAGCTGGAGCACAAAGCCCCTTATTAGAACCTGCTCAAAGGCAGCTGCCATTTGTCCCCCCTCCTCCCGAAACAAGCATTTTCAGAAGATTTTTTAAGTATTGTCTACTTTGACCTTGGTTAACTGCCAAATCTAAGACTTAAGAAGAAGGAAAAGAGAATGCCTTAAAAAAACAGCAAGAGAACTGCTGGTGAAAAAAAGCAGGCACAGGTCAGAGACTCCCATTGGGAGAAGGCTTCATGTTAACATATCAATGCCACATGCTGCTCCTAATTGAGTCCCTCTGCCTCAGTGTGGATGACCAAAACTGGTGACCATACATGAAACGGTACAGCCCAAAGATGGATACCAAAACTTCCTCAGCTTCATCTTGACTAATGGTTTTCAAATCAGATCACATATGGTTTTTTTCCCAAGTGAGTCTTGCACAGTTTGTATGGGATGAGTTATTGATTAGCCAGTACAACCTGACCATTTTCTGCCTCATTTAGGTCCAACCAAAACCCTCCAACCTTCCCAAGCCTGATCTGGCAGTTCATATAATCATATTCTGATTTTATTTTTACCACTCTTAGGGTCATTCCTTTCTCTCCTAAAGGTAGAACAACTCCTCTGAACTGACGCTGGCCTTGGCCTCAGTCCAGAATCATCACTCGACTTCCTCATATCCATGACTTTCTCCCACCCTATCCATGACTTGGTTGCAAGCTCCTTGGCTAAAACATCTCCTTAGGTAATCTTTCGCAGCCCATGAACTCCCCTTCAACACTGGTATTCCAGTACCACATTTTTATCTATCTGACCACTCTTCTACCAAATTATGACTATTAGGA